AAAGTCACCACTCCCGAATGAGTTCGCGCAAGAGAACGTAATCTTTTAGTTTTAAGTCGGTTTGAACAATCCAGATAAGCGCAAGTAAGTACCATTTTGATTAGCCGTCGTACCTACAATGACTGTGCACTGTGTAAACAATGTATACTGTGTATACGCGCGAGAGATCACTTCCGGCGCTTCCGTAAACTACGCCAGAGCGCGTACACACCTCACGCACCGGATGCCGTGCGCGCACTCAAAGCAGTTGGACATAGTGGTGTATTAGAGGTAAAATATGATATAAATACTGTTCGGTTTCTGGCACAAACCGATCGTTTCGTGTCTTAGGACATCAATGTGTCGTCACGAGCCGCAGGGTTTAATTTGGATTTGTCTGTGCATGTTTTTTTTACTCATAGATTTTGTTACCATTGCCATGCATTATACGACTGATAGACTGCAACGGCTGGAGTTAAAAATCATCAAATGTGTTCTACTGAAGAAACAAAGTCACCTACATCTTGGATGCCCTGGGGGTAAGCAGATAAACATCACATTTTCATTTTTGGGTGAACTATCCCTTTAAGTCCGTCCAATCAGAGGTCTTGCCTGTAAAGCACTTTTCCTCTTCCTGATGCTCCATAGTTTGCCATAATATGTTGTATACATCCAAACTGCACTGCCTAGAAAATTCTGTCCCAGCACAGTCCACTCAACCTGATCTTTCATTTCCAGAAAGATTAATGTATCAGATTTAAACATAGTTTTCTTGACTGCCAAACAGTTGATATGGTTCCGCACAAAATGATTACAAATGCAAAATAATGTTATTTCTGAGATGACAAAAATGTAGCATACAACAAGTGTATTTATTTAATGTTTTGCATACTGCTTTTTCAATTATTGCTGGTATAGTTTATTGTATTAAACGATAAGGTGTGAAGAAAACTTATATTGTGAATATAGTGAAATGTTTATAAAAATGTTATTAAACTAATAATATTAATATTCCACCAAATATACTTCCTGTCTGGTGAGCTAATGATAATATATAGATAGATATTATGAGTCATAATTGTTACTATATCATGTATTGACCAATCAGCATCCAGGATCTGTGCATACTTGGAATGAATACAGTGCATTCAGCGATATTACATTTCATATAAAGTGGCATTAGCATTAGAGTACTAGGGAGTTTCAGTCTTTGCAACTTTACAGATCTTCTTTATGCACCAAGAGCTTGTAACACTCCAAAGAGAAAGGAAAATTTGAAATCGCATCATATGACCCCTTTAAAACTGTTTAAAATACAAGCTAAACAAGTAAAACTCAAGATATTTCAAATTTTAATTCACTCAACTTTTCCAGGATTCCACTGGCCTTGGAAAACGTGGCTGTATGAGGTAGCCTAATTTTAAAAGTGTGATTTGTAGCTGGAAATGTCATGTAAATTAAGAAAATCTTAAAACGCAATGCACATTTTATAATGAATATAATTGTTTTTGGTAATTATTTTACTCTATTTTATTGGGTATCAATTAATCCCTCCTTAGCCAGAAAGTCACGATGGTAATGAAGTACTACTTAACTACAGTTTTTAGGCATTTCTACACTGAAAAAAAAAAAAGGTTAATTGAATTTACTACATTTTTTAAGGTAAGTGGTTGCAATCAATATTTTTTTAGCTATATTTAAATAAACTAATTTAGTTGAACTTTGAACATGTTTTTTTTTTTAATGTAGTTAAAATAAATTGTTTGCAACCACTTCAGTCTCGGAGGTAAGAAGTGGATTATCCTTCACCTGAAATGTTTGTCTTTTCATCCTGAAATGCGAGGCAAATGTTGGATCACAATAATTAGGAACCACAGTTTCCACAAATCCCTTCACTCGATTGGGATGTTCTCTTTTATTCTGGAGGGCAAGGGCTGTGACTGTAACATCGAGAGTATTTTGCAGTATTAAACACGTATTTAAACCGATTTCATCAGGCTCCGAACATTCTTCAGAAAGAACACAAAGATTGGCCTTCTCAGCCGCCAACTCTTGCATCATCAGAACAGTGTTCAACGCACCACCGTTTCCGTTTGAAAAACGTTTTGCACCGTTTTTGTCGGAGCTGAACGCAGCCCTGATCTCGGCTGATGGAAAAACACCTCTCGGGGAGAGACGACTGCAGTCTGGCGCTGAGGAGCGAGAAAGACAAAAAACTCAAGATGAATCACTTGCAGGTACTGTATGTACACAGACCTGTTCAACTTTATCATTTTAGTTATCAAAGCGAAGCTGTGACTATAAAGCGCAATAAAACAACAGCAAGAGCAGCTTTGCGGGTCGGTCATGGTGACATTCATTATCTATTGAATCTTTTGATCAATTCGGTTCCTTTCAATGTCAAAGAGTTCTGAATGATTAATTGATTCGAGTCGCCATTCTGCTGAGCAACGCCTGCAAGGGGCGCTCTACACCATATTTATTACTGTGTGAAGACACAAACACACTCTTCTCACTATACATCACATAGCCTACAACAAATGAGCATGTTATTACCATCTAATTCCATCACTGTATCATGGTGCTGGCACAAAATCTCATCTCAGCACTTCAATGTAAACGGCTACACTATATTTAATTTAGTCATTTCAGCTAATTGAGTGAAATCATTACATTTGCATTTATATTGTTGCTATTATGACTATTATAGTTATTATTATGGCTATTATATCTTCAATTAAAATATGGGCAATTGAATATGTAAATATTCATATGTTTGCATATAAGTCATAGAATAATATCACCTTTGAGATTAATCTCTCTTACTGGGATTTTGCTTTATTTGTCAATTACTTATTCAATTAGTCAACTAAATTGTAAAATGCATGTATTTTACAATAATGACTGCATGAACACTCAGTAGAACACACACATTACATTTTCAATAATTAGTAAATGGTAATTTAGTTCCAGGTTAAGATGACATACACATAGTTTTACTAAAGTAATGAGTTACAGCGTGCAAAGGTACTATAAAATATTAACAAAATTAAATTGTATTATGCAGAAGAGAATTTTTAACAGCATAAAGGTGTGTAAAAGATGACAGATTTTCATTTTTGGGGAAACTCTAGTCTGCTAGGATGCAGTCCATCAACTCTGTGCCATTATTAAAATGTACTAGTACACTTAGGCTATGTAAAAGTACTTAACTAATATTAAAACTACATAAGATACTTTAAAAGTCAACTTCCATAAAGATGTCTTTCTTTTACTTACACAAGAATGATGATTGGCTGCTTAGTGCAACACTGATGACTGTAAAAGTCAA